ATTCAATTGAACCGAGTGATTGATGGGCGTGACTCTTTAATGTAATACCCAGGTAAGTGCTACACTTAGTATTTATTTTGTAATTTAGTATGATTAATGCAAAAACTAAAAGCTATTCACGTAATTTTTGCAGCATCTATTTTTAGAAAACTTTTTAAAAATTAGGGTCTTAACCCTTATCTGAAATCTATCGTCATCGATAAAAAATCTCGGATCCAACGATATAAATATTCAGTTTGTAATCACTGGTCTATTACGGCCAGTCTAAGGCTTGGGCTAAAATATATGCTTAGGTCTCTCTTATATTACATCGAGATGACTTTACCAAAGATAACCTTACTTAGAGCTTAGTTTTTACGCAGACATTTTTAGTTCTATATTGAATAATGCTGGCTGGATACATTTTTTATCGTCGCATAACCGTTGATATAATTTTATGATTATGTCTAGCACTCGCTGCCATTATACTATAGACCTTATTAATGTAAACTAGATGGAATTTGTTTTATATATAACTCTACAGCGTTTTAGTATCTTATCATGGTCAGTTACAACTAGAATCAAATTTCGGAGCTCTAACTGAAAGACGTGGTACTTTGCACCAATAAGAATTAATTAGAAGTTATTAACTTTTGATCGTGCTGACATGAGTGAGTATACAGGAAGGTGCAGTGGCCGAGCAATCAAAATAAACTCATACAATAATGAGGTGCGTGACAGGTGGAGGCGAGCAGCGCCCGGTGACCGACCGGCGACAAGACCCATCAGATGCTCATTAGCCATTCATTTCCGACACCGCGGCCTCACGTGCGCCCGCGGCCTGCACTGAGGATCCAGTACAACGTCACGTGCGTGGTCATAACAATACAGATATCTATGTAGGTATATCTTACTACCTGATATCTGAAGTAGAAGAAAGTTTTATCTCATTGAATGACATTGGTTGAATCGTGACGTACAATATCTACTCAGATTAAATCTATAGGTTTAATCTAATTGTTGGTCCAATATTACTATTGTCTGATGCTCTCTGTCTGAACACAACATGTTATCAATTACACAAATACAAAAATATGTAAAAAAAAATATTTGATAAGTCGGTCGAGCATACGGATCAAGTGATGGTAAGCAATCGGCGTCGCCTATGGACACCCGGAACATCAGAGTTGTGAAGTGCGTTACAGGCCTTTTGGAGATTAGGAATTTGAGGATTATTGGGGATACAGGCATGGGAAGATTGGGGAAGAGGAGGATGTTATTGGGCCTCCGGTAACCTCACTCACACAACGAAATATAACGCAAGCGTTGTTTGACGTTGGTTTTCTGCTTGGCCGTGGTATCACGACGGTCGAACCGGACGATTCGTGCCGAAGCATGGCTCTCGCGCACTAAACGCGAGATGTCTTATATATATGAAAACAATATCAAAATTGGATCTGCCCTTGAACTACAAAGTCAAAGCAATTTAAAGGTTAGAATCAATACTATGTCACTACGTATCACTACGTCACTAGCATACAAGATGTGAGTTATGTAAATGTAGTCAGTTCCGGGGATGCAAGGATACGTGGCTGTTTATGACACAACCAATGGCAAACCGGTGTGGTACCGGCACTTCCTAACGAGCAATATTTAATATCAATAATATTAACCGTTTAATTATAGCGTCGCTTGTTATAAGAACCATTATTTGTATTTTTATGAGATAGCTCGTGTTATAAATAGTTTAATATGTTGGATAAGGATAACGCTAGGTGTATCATAATAGCTGTATTACCGGTTAACATAATGCCATTCAAGTGTTTCCCCGGAGAGGTGTAGTGCAGTGTCGCCTGCAGTTAACCCAGTTTAGTACAGCGTTCCAATATCAGCGAGGTCCTTGATTTATTGTGCTTAATCTACCTTAGTTCAGTCTGGTAAGTTTCAAAACATTGCTTTAAATACAATTTAATCAGACAATAAGTTTAAGAAGTAAAAGCTAAAGGTGTAAGAATGTTTATAATGTTACAGCCTATTATAGGTACTATTAAATTAGCAATGAAGGCTACAAAATGTGATGTAAATAATGTAATCTCCATAACAAAACATTACGACAACGTACAGAGCATGTCACACGTGTCATTATTACTTGACCACTCACAGTAATGAAGTGGACAATTACCAAAACAGCGCACAATACTCCACGCGGCGCGTATACATGGTGTTCTCATTGTAACACACTTCGTTTGATTATATTTTCGTCATCTATCGATATCAGTATCAACTTGCATCGTAAACGGTTTTTAATGTTTTCGCAATCAAACGTGCGGACATTAAAAGGTAAACGTTGATTCGATTCTTGATAGAGACAACCTTGAGTGACATTCAATAATTTTGATGTGAATTCGTGTTACGATTTCCAGATAAGTTAGGAAACAAAAACTGAATAAAATCAAGAAATGTACGAACGAAGTAAAATTTATTATTGTGTGCAGAAATGTTTAATAGAATTGAGCAGAATTTCAAATCCATATTTAATATTTCATAAACCCGCATCTGGCTAGAAAGCAAATAAAATGAATAAAGTCCATGAATAAACCTGCGCAGTGCACATTGGACTGCACAAACTAAACAAGTATTCATGGCACTCGAAGGGAATTTGTAAGCATTGGAAAATGGTAAATCAAGACCAAGTTTTCTTAAAACGCGGTGGACGGATGGAGAAATGAATCGTGAAATAGCTATTACTGCCACAATGGATGAAATCCTTTGAAAATAAGTAAAAATAAATGTAAATGCACCGCCAATAAGCTGCGGTCGTCGTGACTTGCTTACATGGCAACAAACTGAGACGCCTGGACTAATTGACTCGGTTTGTACATGTGTACTTTAACTACAGCGAGGAAGAAACGAGAAAGAAGACTGCCGACTGCCGCGCAAGGGGTCTTGGGTTCGATACCCGGGTCGGACAAAGTAATACTGGGTTTTAAAAAAATCTCATTAGTATAGTAGCACGGAGTCTGGAATTGTGCTCGGTATATGGCAATAGGCTCACCCACATTACATGGGAGTGAGTGTTACATTGTACAGTGGCGTTAAGTACCGTAACGTGCACCTCTGCCTACCCCTTTGGGGATAATAGGCGTGAAGTTATGTTACGTTATGTTATGTTATGAGAAACTTTTCGTCCTAAACGACCCGTGCAATGCATGTTGACAAACACTCACAAAATAGAACAAGTTACACAATGTATTTTTCAGTTGTTTTCAGTGAAAATACTCGAGCAGGTCTCGAGTAAGTGCTGTCTATTGTGAACATATATTATTATGAAGTAGAGGAGCCATGGATTCAGGTCAACGATATGCCATTTTGTAATGAGTACCTAGTGAGTCGCAAGGTCAGGCAGTGTCGGGTTTAGTGTAATAGTGTGCTTTCTTTTTATCTCACTTGTAATGTATGCACGTCTATACAGTCTAAATACTTATCTATAAACCATGAAACAATAGGTACCTATGTTTATTTTTGTTCGACTGTCTTCTATAAATATATTTTTTATTTCTATTTTAGTAACAATGCTGTAAGGGTAGGTCATTGTTAAAAAAATTAAAGTTTGTAATCAACATTACAGATTCATTATTCTTTATCGTCTCTATAATTAAGGACTGCGAGTATAACGAAGTATTCACGGTATCGACCGCTACTTGTACATAAGACACTTACTGACAAAAATCATCCCGTGCCTATTCCTGCTTCAGTCCGGAGGTCCTGTCTGTATAAATATACCTACGGCTTCAATATTTTACTATTTGAATGCAAATACGTTGTTTTAAAACTAGGTAAACAATTTAAAAAGTATGAACCATTCATGAACATTTATCACATTCATGATAGTATATTTATTAAACATTTATTTCAGTTTACAAACTGTTTGTTTGTTCAGCTGAAAAATATTATTTTTTCATCAAATGTGATGTATTTTAACAGAATTTCTAATCGTTTCACAATACTACATTATATTTATTGGCAATGTCTACACATACATATATCACGCAGTCAGCACATTAAAAAGAAATAAGAAAACAATATTTTATCTGTGGACACAAAAACTGAACTCTTATTGGCTCGTACATCTTTACACAGACAATAAATATTAGTTTATCTAGAAGATATAGTAAATCCTAACAAATTCGTTGTAATCGAACAACTGATTAACTGTAATAAATTACGTTAACGAAAGCATTCAACTTCGAGATAACAATGTTCGCACTAAGAATTAAATGTTAGCTCTATAACAGAGCATTTTTTACAATTTCATTGTTTCTATTTACTTAATAAATCTGTTATAAAAGTCCTCACAGATGCTTCTGATGGTCAGTAATTTGACAATTTCTAAGAAATATTATTGTGAGCGTGCCATCAATAACTAACTTCTGTAATGTCTACAAATTATTATGATGAC